GGGGGTTTCTATTAAAGGTTCAGAGGAGGAAATGGAGGCTTTGTTGGTGGCAAAAGAAAAAAGGTGTCTGGTGGAAAAAGACAAGCTGAGGAGATACTATGGTTGGCTTGGGGTTTGAACGATGGGGCTAGAAGTACAAACTGAGGCAATAGAAACCAATGCAGATGACTGCCATGGATCGCATCCATTTAGTTACTTGGAACATTAGGGGTTTGGGATCAGGAAGAAAGAGATTAGTGGCAGGGAATTTTTTGAAGATTTAAAGGGTGGATATTTTGATGCTTCATGGAACAAAAATACAGAATTTAAACTTCAGAATAGTGAGGAGCATTTGGGGTTTTAAGCCCTATGATTGGCTCTCGCTTCCAACAATCAATACTGTTTGGAGGGGGGTAGCAATCATTTGGGATAGCAACAGATTTAAGGTGGTGGACAAGGAACTGGATGAGTTTTCTATCTCAATTTTGTTGAAGTGTTTGTCTTCAAACAATTTTGTGTTGGTCACTACGGTATATGGACCAATAGAGAATTCACTGAAACAGAACTTCTGGGAGGAACTGAGCGAAGTTAGAAGTAGATGGAATGAAGCCTTGGGTTATTGGGGGTGACTTTGACTCTATAGTTGGTTTGCTTGAAGGCAAGTGGTGTTAAGAGGTTGAGAGATATGCGCTTATTTTTCTGAGTTCATCCAAAAGTGGGAGTTGATTGATCTTCTGTTGCCTGGTGCTGAGTATACTTGGACTAGACCTGTTCACGGGCCAGCTGGATAGATTGCTCTAGACCTGTTCACGGTGCTAAGTATACTTGGACTAGAGCCTTCAAATTGCTCTAGTGCAGCTGGATAGATTCTTAATATCAAATGAATGGGAGGAACTTTTCCCTAAGACGTCTCAGGAAGCACTTTCCAAGGTGTTATCAGACCACATGCCCCTCTTGCTGGACACGAGAGATATCCAGAAAACCCAGCCCCTTCTATCTGGAACATTGCTGGCTAGAAGAAGAGGAGATGGATTGGAAAATTAGGAACTGGTAAAATGAGGTGCAATTTGAAGGCTCGACAAGCTTTGTATTATTCAAGAAATTGCAGGGATAGTCTTTCATCCTTGATGAAATGGAAGTCCAGCTACTCGCACAAACTGGGATGGTGTCCACCGCTGCAAGGATAGTCTGTTCTGGCATTGGTTCCAAATGGTGTTAAAAGGTCAAAGGAGGTGTATTGCCATTGGCTCCAAAACATTCGAACTTGATACAAGCCGATCTCTTGGGGATGGGGTGTTGGTGATTATAGAGAGGGGAAGAGGGGCATGGTCCAGAATCGTTCTTAAAGAAGATGAGGTAAGCTGGATTGTAGGTGCTTTGGAAGAATTACTAGAAAACCACAATAGACTTTTTGAACCATTAAGATGAGCGGACAGGGGAAGGATAATCTCATGTTCAGTTGCTGAAAATAGATGGGGAAGATACATAAGGTTAAGCCTTTGGGAAGGAGCGAGAAGAACAAGAAACATTTGTATTCCAGAAGAAGCTAACACTTTAGGGTGGGGAACAATGTCAAAAACTTTGAGTTTGTTTCTTGCCAGAAAAGAAAGACCAGAAGTTGTTCCCCCCTCGACAGAGGAATTTCCAGGCTTAGAAAAAGGAAAAAACAGAGTGACGGTGGTTGGAGGAAGAGCTTTCCTGGTCCATAGACTTGGTCCATTTGGAAATTGGAAGACAGCCTTTGTATGCACCAAGCCATAGGACGTAAGTTGGAGAGACGTGGAACTTGGCATCTCAGCGAACCTGCATTCCCCGACATTGTTAACTCTGAAACCCTTTGAAACAAACAAGGCGGTGGGCTTGCCCCGTCGGAGGAGACAGTCAGCAAGTGGGCGGGGTTGGGATCAGTGTTTGTGTATAGGAAGACGGTGTTAATTGACCGGTGGTGGCCGAAAGTGAATGAAAACCTCACAAATCTGAGTTTTGACGGTTGGATAGTGATGCACGGCCTCCCCTTTCATCTTTGGACAATGGAGACGTTTAACCTAATAGGAAGTCTCTGTGGGGGACTGGAGGTTATTGACAATCTAGAGAGATTTCCAGGAGCTTTGATTTGTCAGGATTAGGGTGAAAGGGAGAGGAGTGTTCGTGATACCTCGAGTAGTTCCCATTCTCGACAGCGAAGTTTGGTTCCACTATTCAATCGAGGTTGAAAAGAAGACCGAGCCTAGGGAGGAAGAAACTGAGTCAACTCACCAACCCGAGCCCAGCACATGTGGCAAGTCAAGGAGGGTCACACAACTACTAACCAGGTGAACTTGCGTGGAGTGCACAACCAACCTGCAACAGAAGAGATTACGTTGGGAAGAAGCAAAGCCAAGCGCAGTAACTGTTTTAGGAAGTTTGGCAGTAACGTGGAGGAAGCTTGGGGAAGAAAAGGAAAGTCCACTCAAAATTTAAATTTTAAGCAAAAAGTTGTTAAATGAGAAAGAGAAAGCTGGAAGAAAACGGGCAATCCCAACAAAACCCGACCCGACCTCTTTCCTAGTTCCTGACAGCCCTGAGAGTTTGGGCCGAATAATGACAAAAGCCCATTTTGTTCAAGTTGACGAGATTGACAGCCCCCTACTACCCCTCTACTCTTTGGAGAAGGCTTTCCTAAAACACCTCTCTCTAGTAGAGGAAAAGTTAGGGGGGTTAATCGCCCTCCCACGCCATTAACTTTAGGGAGCTCGAGTTCGGAGAGGGGAGAGTTGGAGGTGGAGACTGATTCAGAGTTGAGTTCGTACGAAACCAAAGCAGATGTCAATGGTTAGGAGGTAGCTCTAGAAAGAGTTCAAGTATTGTTCAAGAACAGAGGAAATTGGGGAAGTATGGACATTTTGAAGCTAATGCAGCTGGTCAATCCATATTACGGTCAATCTGAAGACAGACACCAAGAGAAAGGAGGAAAGCTGGAACTTTCAGCAAACACCCTTCCAAGCTTTCTGATTGACCCCATAGTTTGTCACACTTTAACTATTTCTTCTCCTGGTTTCTCTACCTCTGAGCCTTACTCCAATCCCCTTGTTTCCTGTGTTTCAGGTGAAGGTGTCATTCTATCCCAACTGTCGGCAAGTCTCTGCGATCAAGGAGCCACTCAATTTGCAGAGAGCTGCAAGATAATCAACGACAAAGAGAACAGTGGGCCAGGCTCGAAGCAGCAGAGAGAAATGAAGGGAAGTAGTAAAGGAAAGAAATCGGAAGTAGGAGGGAAGAAAGGGACAAACAGAGTGCTCAAAAGACTTCAATGGGGTTTTGTCCACCAGGGAGTAGGACCTGAAATCAGTATTGATAAAAGGTTAAGGGAAAGGCAGTCGTACATAAACCATGAAGATCTTGAGTTGGAACGTAGGGGGGCCGGGGGGATTATATAGAGAAGCTTGGTTAAGGATACCCTAAGGAAGGAAAACCCAAACATAGTACAAGAAACAAAGGAAGAAGTCATTTAACAGAAAGTTAATTAAAGCAATTTGGGGAATCAGAGGAAGAAAATGGGCAAATCTCCCAGCAACGGAAACAGCAGGTGGAATTCTTATTGTTTGGAAAGAAGAGGCGGTTATTGGATTAGAAGTAGACAAAGGGGAGTTTTCTATTTCTATCCTGTTCACAAACATTTCCGATGGTAGCAATTGGATTCTGACAGGGGTGTATGGGCCTAATTCTCCACCACAGAGAGGAAGATTATGGGAGGAACTGGATTCTATGCATGAATCGGAGGACCTGCCTTGGTGTGTTGGTGGTGACTTTAATGTCACGAGGTATTGCAGTGAGAGCCCAAACTGTAGGAGAGTAACAAGAAGCATGAAGGAGTTCTCGAACTCTATTGCTAGACACAATCTTAAAGACCTCCCTCTTAGCAACGGCTCCTTTACCTAGTCTAATATGCGGGAGTGTGCAGTAAGGAGTAGACTGGATAGATTTCTCATATCCAGTGACTGGGAGGAACTATACCCTAACTGTGTGCAGTTTATTAAGCCCCGTTGGACATCTGATCATTGGCCAGTAATTCTACAGAATGAAGTATTCAGGAAAGGAAAGGCATCGTTCAATCTGAAAAGGTGTGGACTACTCACAATGACTTCCAACAAAAGTTTCTGAATGGTGGAAGGAATGCAAAGTGGATGGGCAGGATTTAGGTTTCAGCAGAAGTTAAAACACTTAAAAGGGAAGCTAAAAGTGTGGGGTAAAGAGGAGTTTAAAAAGTTTGTGGAAGACAAAAATAAACTAACTCAAGAGCTAGATGATCTGGACCAAAGAGAGCAACCGGGGACTTTGGATGAGGAGGGTGGAAGCAGAAGAGAAACTCTTAAAAAGGATTGGGAAAAGCTTATAAGAAGGGAAGAAATCTTTTAGAGGCAAAGATCTCGAGTGAGTGAAGGAAGGGTTAGGATCCATCATATGGATGGCCGAACCATGCTACATGGCTGGGCGAAATTTCAAAAATTTCCTAATCCTTCTGGGAATCGAATTCCCTATGTTTCGAAAAACTACATTTTTAAAGGATCAGTCTTGCACTGAACCAGACCAGATTTGAAACCAACCAAAGAGGGAGATGTATACCTGATACAGATACCACAAACTCAGATCCCAAGGTGGAAGTTCACGCCCAAACCGGATCTAAAACCAGCCTCCACTGAAAATGGCGCAACGTGATCTTGAAGTCGGTTCAACAACGCATTTTTCAGCAAAACTGCAATCCAACTGCTTGAATCGAACTGGGGAGGTGAGCACGAATTTTCTCTGAATTTTTCTTGCAAAAATCAGAGGAAGACTGATCTCTATCAATCCCAAATAGCTGTGGTCGAACTAGGGTTTCTTGGGAGACAAAAAGAAGAAGAGAGAGAGCAGAATTGAGAAGTCTCTTAGTCTAGTTCGCCCTCTTCTTCTTTTATCTCTTTATGGAGCACTTCTCCTAATCAAATTAGGAGCTTATCCAAATCTAATTTGGATCTGGACTCTATCAAGAGATAAGCCTTATCCTCTTAAGAGGATGGGTGCTACATACGCATCTCCAAACCCATATTCACCCCATGTCACATGACAACTTAAGCTATCAATGACAGCTTAACTAATCATATTAATTATGGGCTTTAGGCCCATCAGCTATAAGGCTCACGACCCAAGGGTGTTTCATGGTCAACTTAGGCTTGATTTGTATGGTGTGGGACCCCACAATGACGTCACATAAGTCCACATGGGTTCGGCCCAGCCTCTGTGAAAAAGCTTGGCCAAATTCACTACTAAACACAGTGAACCCCTGAGCACATCACTATGGGCTCAAAATGGGCCCAACATTTACACTTAAATGATCCTTGAATTCAGCCATCCTATGAAGACCCAAGGATAATGGACTTAAGTAAGATAAAGCCCATCAGGCAATCAGCCCTGTAATGGTCTCTTACACTTAACCTCTCGGCTCATAATGATTAAACACTGCCCGACAAGGAAGGACCTCTCCCCTAGCTACAAGGTGTAGTGTCACACTCTCTACTCAGATGGATCCCGAGAATAAAACCTTTTGCAAAACATTTTTCATAAATATATTTTGCAAAAACAAATCTAAAACACAGTTGAAATCCACTGTCGACAGTTTATGTTTCCATTAGAGAGAGTGTAAACCTTATCATTCACTTTGTTCGACAAAGAGGCCGATCCTATCACTATGATCACCCACTTAAGTAAATTCTCAGACTATCTCAACATACCCAGGCTTTGACCCTCAATGGATTTCACTGATTGGCATATCAAAGACAACCCAATTTGACACCTAGTGCAGTACTATAATCAAGTCTAGGGGTTATGTGTAACTTTTCAGTTTTGCCCATCAATCTCCAAGGTCCAGGGCATAACTGGACAATGGTCCGGGTTCAGTGTCTCAACCAAACACACATTGTATGTGCTTTGGGTCTAACCCTAGCAACTGAGACAAGCTACCCCAACTTCTTTGGTAGCACATCAATGTCAGCCTTGGTAGGATAAACTCCCCAAGTCTATCCAATGACTGAGAACATTCTAAACTAACACGAGTCTCATAAGTGTCCAATTTAAAGGGGTAATTTCACAGAAACATACCAATATCAACATGAAACAATAATGTACTTTAATTCATTTACAATAAATGTATCTGTACATCAATCTAATTGGAGCTAAGGGCATACATTGTCTAACAGTGAGATGGTTGAAGGAATGAGATAATAATTCAAAGTTCTTTCATAGTTATGCATCAGGGAGAAGAAGGAAAAACTATGTCTCAAAGCTGAGAGTGGGGCAGAGAGAGACAGAGGACAAACAAGAAATTTCAGAAGCCACAGAGCAGTTTTTCAAAGGTTTGTACTCAAAAGATGGGTCCTGTAGGATACCTTTGAATAACTGGGAGGGAACTAAGTTGTCGGAGGACAAAAAGTTGTGGCTAGAGAGAAGCTTTGAAGAGCAAGAAATTAAGGAAACAATGTTTAAGATGGATGGTGATAGAGCTCCTGGTCCGGATGGACTCCCTATCCTTTTCTTTCAGTTGTGTTAGAATACAATTAAGTCTAATCTGTTGGAAGTGTTTTCAGATTTCTACATTTCGTCCGTCATGAATAAAGGCAACAACTCGACCTTTATCACTCTAGTTCCAAGGAAAGAGGGGACCTTCAGTTTGGTGGGGAGCTTATACAAAATTGTGGCTAAAGTTCTGGCAACTAGACTAAAGGAGGTGCTGAAAGATTTAATTTCAAGCAACCAATTTGCCTTTGTGAAAGGGAGACAAATTATTGACAGTATACTTGTGGCAAATGAATGTGTAGACGAAAGAAGACAAAGTGGCAAGGAAGGGGTAGTAATCAAGTTGGATCTAGAAAAGGCCTACGATAAAGTGGATTGGGACTGCTTATTGGACTGAGAGGTTTTGGAAGGAGATGGGTGAGGTGGATTAGAAGGTGTATAAGTTATGCTTGGTTTCCAATCCTAATAAATGGAGAGCTGACTGGCTATTTTAATGCAGACAGGGGCCTGAGACAAGGGTGCCCTCTCTCCCCCCTACTCTTTACTTTGGTAGCTGATATCTTCAGTAATTTACTTCAAAAAGCAAGGGAGAGAAACCTGCTGAAAGGGTTTGAGGTAGGTAGGGAAGAAATTCAGATATCTCACTTGATGTACGCAGATGACATAATCCTGTTCTTGGAGGTGGATTGGGAAAACATCTCCAACCTAAAAAGGGTATTAAATATTTTTGAACTGGTGATGGGGCTCAGAATTAACTTCAACAAAAGCAGCATTTGTAGGCATAAGTGTAAATGGCTCTCTGCTGGAAAGGTTCAAGGAGCTGTCAGGTTGTAAATTGGAGAAACTTCCTATCACCTATTTGGGAATGCCTTTTGGTGGGAATCCAAAGAGTCAAAGTTTTTGGGATCCAGTGGTAGAAAAATGCAAAAGAAGACTGGCTACGTGGAAGAAAAGCTACCTGTCAAAAGGGGGTAGACTCACACTTATCAAGGCTTCCCTTGCCAATTTGCTAACCTATTACTTGTCAGTTTTCAGTATCCCGGGCAAAGTAAAAAGTAAGATTGAGATGCTTCAGTGGGATTTCCTATGGGAAGGAGGCAGCGAATAGAAGGGTCCTCTAGTTTCATGAAATGAGGTGTGTAAGCCCAAGAACCTTGGTGGTTTGGGGCTAGGACATATCAAAGAAAGGAACCTAGCTCTTCTTGGAGAGTGGTTGTGGAGGTTCCCTTGGAGATGGAAGCGTTGTCGACAAAATTCATCAATAGCAAGTACGGAAGACACGCCAATGGTTGGGATAACAAGGTCCACCCAAACCGAGTTAGCCAATGGTTGGGATAACAAGGTCCACCCAAACCGAGTTAAAGCCTCTAACCCTTGGAAAGGTATTTCTTCTGTTTATGACCTCTTTATTGATTTTGTAAGGTACTGGGTGGGAAATGGGAATAGAACCAAATTCTGGACTGATTTATGGTGGGGAGAGGACACCCTTGCAAACTCCTACCCTAGAATTTTTAACCTGTCCTGCTCCAAAGAAGCCACGGTGGCCTATAGCCTCAGTCACTCTCCCTCAGGAACCAGTTGGAAGCTGAACCTTAGAAGGTCTCTAAGAGAGATAGATCTTGCTGAAATAGCAAACTTTCTAAACTCTCTAAGTGAGGTTTACATCTCCCCGACCTCCCCTGACCAAAGGATCTGGAAACTTAATCCTGCCGGCAAGTTCTCAACTAACTCCTTTTTTAAGGCTCTAGTTTCAGAAGATCATATCACTCCCTTCCCAGTTAAGAACGTTTGGACACCACATGTTCTCCCCAGAGTTTCTTTCTTTGTCTGGGAAGCCTGCTTAAAGAAAATAAATACTTGTGATTTAATACAGAAAAAGCTTAGAGGAAGCTTATGTATCTCCCCTCATGTCTGTCCTCTCTGCCTTGGTGGTAATGAAACAGCTAACCACATTCTTCTCCACTGCCCTGTCACTAGGAAGGTTTGGTGTTTCTTCCTAAACTTAGTTGGTTACAGCTGGGTTTTCCCTGAGAAGGTAGTGGACCTCCTGTGGCAGTGGAAAGGCAAAGGTCTAGGAAAGAGAGGAAAGGTATATTAGAGTATAGTCACACATGCAGTCCTTTGGGGTATTTGGGAAGAAAGGAACAACAGAACCTTTGGAAACAAATTCAGAAATGTGGAAGACCTAATCTCGTACATAACTTTCCTCTGTAACCTTTGGGTGGTTAATTCTGAAGTTTTCAAAGGTCTGTCTCTAAATGACCTCCAAAGTAACCTTCCAGCCATCCTGCAGTCCTCTCCTAGATCTGAATCGATCATGAGAAGCCTTATTAGGGAAGAAGGTGGGATGATCCTACACTTTGATGGTAGTGCCCAAGGATCTACTGGCCAAGCAGGAATTGGTGGTGTCTTCTGTGGGGAGAGGGGGATCAGCTGGGCTAATAGTGGTCTGATTGGGAGAGCTGATGCTACAAAAGCAGAGGTCTTGTCAGCAATTACAGGAATTCGGCTTGCTAAACAGCTAGGATTTTTCTCCTTAACTATAAAAGGGGACTCTGCAAATACAATAGCTTGGCTAAGAGAGAAGGAAGGAGGGCCTTGGAGACTTGCTCATCTGCTAGCTGAAGCTCGAGATATCTTAGAGTCATTGAATGTAAATCTGGTCTGGATTCCTAGGGAGCAAAACACTGTTGCAGACAGCCTTGCAAAATCAGGAGTTTCTAGGGAAAGTCTGTATAGTGACTTCTGCTTACCTCTATAATTCTGCCTCAGCTGCTTTAGCTTGTAGTACATTTTCTCATTTACTTGTTCCTGTTTTAATTTAATAAAAGTTACCTTTGCTCAAAAAAAAAAAAAAAAGAAATTGCAATGGTTAAAAGGTAAGATTAAAATATGGCAAAAGGAGCACTCAGAATTGGTTGATAGCCACAAAGAATAATGCATAAAAATAACTGCTGAAATAGATAAGGAAGAGGAAGGTGGAAAGTTAGATGGAGCACAAAGGAAGAAGAGGATGGAAGCCAAGAAGGAATTTGATTCCTTAGCTTACCAAGAAGAAGTTAAGTGGCAGCAAATATCAAGAATAAGTTGGCTAAAAGTGGGTGACAACAATACTTCATTCTTTCATAAATTGGCCAACACAAGAAGAGCAAATTCAAATTAGAAGCAAGAAGTGAATGGAAGAATGGTAGAGGAGGAGGTTGATATGGAAAATATTACTGTCAACTACTATAAGCAACTTTACGGGGAACCATGCAAAAAGATACCTAATTTAAATGGTTTATCTTTTAGCACTCTGTCTAGGGAACAGGCAGCTGATTTGGAAAATGTTAGAGTCGAAAGTACAAGGGTATTTTGGTCATTTGTCTATCTAGTTGAGAGCGAATAGTCTGTTCTGTTTAAGTTTAAGTTATGTGTCCCATACTTAATGAGGGATAATTCATTCTTTTGTAATCCAGCTTATATACAACATAAATACAAGTGGGTCGGCTAGGAGAGTGTGACTTTTCTTCTCTAGACCGAGCCATTCTTCTTCTCTTTCTCTCTTTCTCCTTCTTCTTTCTTCTTCTTCTTCTTACCTAGAACTAATCTAGGGCTAACCGATCTATTCACAGAAAAAACATTTTTGGAGGCAAAAGGCAAGAAGGCATTGGATGAAATGGAAGGAGAGAAATTGCCTGGGCCAGATGGCTTTACCATCTTTTTCTAAAAAAGGTACTGAGAGCTGATTAAATGGGATGAGGTTTGTTGCTGTGTTCCATGAGAAAGTAGCTTTGGTTTGTAGTTTGAATGTGGCATTTATTTCGTTGATAGCAAAGAAGGAAGGAGCAGTAGAGGTCAAAGATTTTAGACCCATCAACTTGATTGGAAGTGTGTATAAATTAGTGTTATCCATAAGATTGAGGAAGGTGATGGATTCTCTGATTTCTAGATACCAGGGAGCTTTTGTGCATAATAACATATTCAAGACAATGTCCAAATTGCAAACAACCTTATTGACTCAAGGCAAAGGAGTGGGAAGCAGGGTGTAGTTATTAAGTTTGACTTGGAAAAGGTATACAATCTTGTCAACTGGGCTTTTATGGATTATATGTTGGTGAGGGTAAACTTCAGACAGAAGTGGAGGAATTGGATCAAAGTTTGCACGTTAACTCTAGATTTTCCATTATAATCAATAGATCTGCAAGAGGCAATTTCAAGAGCTCATGAGGATTGAGACAGGGGGATCCTTTATCTCCCTTATTGTTCCTTGTAGTATTGGAGGGCTTAAGCAAAATAACTGAAAGAACCACCGAGGGAGGCCTGTTTGAAGGGTTTGAGGTGAAAAGTAATGGATCCAAGATCGCTTTGTTACAGTTCGCAGACGACACCCTGTTTTTTATGCTAATTGGAACAAGTCTTCAACTTGAGACATCTTCTTTGCTGGTTTGAGGTGGTCTTAGGTCTGAAATATGGCAAAGAGTGAGATGGTGGATGTAGAAGAAGTAGGTAATATATCAGATCTTCTGGAGGTTCTTGGCAAGTGGGGAAATTCTCAACCAATTATTTGGGTTTACCTCTAGGTTCCAAATGTACTTAAAAAGGCATTTGGGATCCAGTCGTGGAGAAGGTCAACAAGAGCCTATTAACTTGGAAGGCTTGCTATCTAAGGGAGGTAAATAAACTCTAATAGTGTCTTAGCAAGCTTACCAGATTATTATTTATCTCTATTTCCAATTCCAATGGAGGTGGCAGAAAAGTTAGAGAAGGCTATGAGGTATTTCTTGTGGAAAGGTTGGAAAGATGAAGAGAAATTTCATTTGGTGAGGTGAGAACTTATTTTCAAACCCATTGCCTGGAGGATATGGGTTAAGAAAAGTTGAGATTTTCAATATTGCTCTCTTGGTAGGTGGTTATGGAGGTTTTGTACAAATCCCTGACTTGTTTAGGGCAGTGATTTAAAAGGCGCGCTTGAGGCGCCTTTTTAGGGTAAGCTCCTAAAATGCACACAGGTGAGGTGCATTTCAGGGTATGCACCTCGCCTAGGTCCTAGGCGCAGCCCTTTCCAAAGGCGCATACCTGGTGCGCCTAGGCGTACACCTTTCGAAAATTTGACGTTTTTTTGCTTCTTTTGAACCTAGCGTCTGGGTTCATTCATTCATCCTAGTGCCTCAGCCCCCAATTTGATCATGTTGTTCATTCATTCATCCTAATAAAATGTCTTCTTAAAAAGCAATTAAAGCTATAAAATCATTATTTTTTGTGTGAAAACTAAGAATTTAAGACCTAATGTGGACTTGTTTGGGCTTTGCCTCGAGGGGTGTGGCACAAAGGCGGCTCGTAGAATCAGAATGTAATATGTTTTACATTACATTAGATACTTGAAGTAATGCAAATGAATGAAAAAAGAGAATAGAGGTTTTACATGCTTGAAAATGTTTTATATGTTTGATTTTATTTTTAAATTATCATTTGAATATGCTTTACATCTTATGTTTATGTATTTTAATTTTAGAATAGGTTTTTTAAAACATTATTTTAAATTTTAAGTTTATATTTTTTATTAATATTATGGTTAATATTTTTTATTAATATTATGGTTAATATTTTTTATTTTTTTGAATTTTTTGGCATTTTTTTGAATTTTCTGACTTTTTTTTTATTTTTAGCATTTTTTTGTATTTTTGTGCCTTGCTTCAAAAAGGCACGCACCTCGCCTTGCGCCTCAGCAAATTGACCCCTGCGCCCTTTTTGCGCCTTGCGCTTTTAAAACACTGGTTGAGGGAGCTAATTGCTGAGAAGTATGGAGTAAGTGATAATGGTTTGGATGCTTTGGATTCTCGGTTATGGCTGTGGAATTTGGAGTGGAATATGCAAAGTCTTCCCTAACTTATTGAAAGGCATAAGATATTGTCTTGGCAATTGGACTAGAATAAAATTCCGGCTGGATCCCTGGTGTGACGAATTGACTCTGAATGACAAATTTCCAGATCTGTTTGTTTTGGCTTACAACAAAGAAGCTACAGTAGCGGAGTGCTTTCAGGTAGGAGGAACATCTCTTACTTGGAATCCAGCTTTTAGAAGGATATTTTTTTGACTGGGAGGTGCAGACTTCTTGTCCTTATTGTACAGTCAGCAAGTCAATGAGGGTGAACAAGATGTTAGACTGTGGAAATGGTCCAAGTCAGCTACCTTCTCAGTCAGGTCCTTTTATGTTAGTATGTTGGGAGAGCAAGACAGATCTTTTCCTTTCAAAGCCATTTGGGGAACTGCAGCACCCTCAAAATTTAAGAGAAATTGCAGAATAGGAACAGATGGTTCACAGGTTCCCTATGCTCATTACAAAAAACACAATCCGTGTTTATGGTTGCTTTCCTGCTTCAGTGAAGTCCTTGCTATCTGGGTGGAGGGTGCAAGGGATGTCCAAGAAAGGGAGAGCTTGCTAAGATATGGTGCCTCTAGCAGTCTTGTGGGCACTCTGGTCTGAAAAGAATGGGAGAATTTTTTAGCAAAAGTGTAATCCAGAGGAGGTGGTAACAAATGGTGCAGTTGACATGTTAAGAGCTTGGTTGTCTACTCTTAATTGTTTCAGTGATGATGGATTTTCTTCCTCCTTTTTGAATATATATATATATATATATATATATATATATATATATTGGGGATCCTTAAAGGAATGTTTTTGTACAGAAACTTTTTGTACAGAGGACCATACTTGTATATTTTTTTTAAGTTACAATGTTCTTACCTTTCTCAAAAAATAAAAGGAATCTAACACTATGGAAATATTGCTATATCAAACTGAGATATTTTGTCTTGTCACTCAATTGTCCTGTTTGGTTGATATGAATGAGGTGGTTGAAATATATATCATCAAATATTACTTTTAATTACTTTCTTAGGAAGGTTCTTGTAAAATTTTTTTAGTCATATTTCAGATGACTGTTTACTTGTGGAGCATGTCAACATAGAGTCAGACATTTTTCACCCAAACGTGGTACCTAATGCAGAAGTTTCAAGCCATGTTGGGCACAGAAAACTGAGGTGTTGCAGCTTAAACATAAACTTGCTGTCACACTAATAGACCCAGGCTTTTTTGGGCTTTTTATTTGCTTGACAGTTAATATAGAAAATTCCAATCTGACAATAATTGCGTGGTGTGTACAATTATGACAGCTATTCTCCTTGGCATCATATACGAGATGGAAAGAGAATACCCTTACCTAATATGAATAATAGAGCAGTTGGTAATTGTTGGATGGGACCCACTGTTTCTTTGCAAAATTGGGAGCAACCGGATCCTTGCAAGGAAATTGAATAGATAGTTGAACATAAGCATTAGCTTACTTGCTTACTGTCATAAAGATTAAAAAGATAAAATCATTGGAATTGCAAGCCCATTCTTTGGTTGACTTATTAACCATTTAATATCATTCAGTTGGATTTTATCTGATTATATTTTGATATTTGCTTTTAATATAAATCTTTCTTTCTAATTATGTATTTATGACAATGCTAATACTTATAATGCAAATTTAATGTGTATATTCATTTTCAGCCTGATAGAGATTCAAAATGTACGGAGTATCATGGATGTCCTTGCAGAAATGCTAAATGCTTTAGATCCAGGGAGCAAAGAGGTATAATTCCTTGTACATCTAGATTGACATCTTGGATTTAGAGAGGAAAAAGAGAACAATCTCTCACATAACCTAGAAAAAAATGTGTAAAAGTGGCAATTTTCAATTTTTCATATACAAGTGCAATAAATATCAGTATTATCAAATTGTTGACTAGTCAGTCGAGGGCCATACCTATCGCTTCACTGACCAGTTGGTGGTTACTCACGATCCAGTCTCTTGAAATGACTAAGCATGAATCAGGTTGATTAATCAACTTACAACTAGTCAATCTAGTGATTGGAAAAACAAAGTTATTTTAACGCTTTGTTTGTTTGTGTTTATGCATACTTATTTAAAATAATATAGTATAGGCTTTTATTTTTATATGCATGTGAGTTGCTTTAAGCATTTCTGATGGTGCATGATTGGTTGATGGTATATAAATAGAAATAAGGCATATAATAAAGGAATACAGTGGACCAGATGTTCTTTTAAGTTTTCCTTTAACTAGTGGTGCTTTGGTATGGAGTTCTCACAAATAGTCTAAGTTGCATTCTTTCTCTGAAAGTTAAATACTCCCTATTCTAACCTATTCAGCCTTGTTTTTCTATATTTGCTAAGCAAAGATTGTAACTAAATGTTCTATATCATTCTGTTCTTTCATATTTCCAGTCCATACCAATTAGTAAATGAGATTGCATCGTTGTCTCATTTACAACATATTATTTGTGGTTGACTGGTCAGAACCAAGGCACTGACGGGTAATCAGGTTGACTAGGGAGGCCTATCTTGATGAAAACTTGGTTGCTTTGGCTCTGGCTAACCAGTTCTCATTACCATCTGAGTCAATTTACGTTCCTTTCAATTCCTTTTTGTATTCATGCATTCACTATGAACCTCAATTTCCAACTCTATTGCTGAGTCATCATAGTGTTGATATGCAGGCAATTAGACAGGAGGTAATTGTCGACCTAGTTGGACAGTGCCGCACATACAAGCAGAGAGTAGTGCACCTTGTTAACTCAACTTCGTAAGGACCTCTATTACTCATTTGATTCAATTTGTAGTATCTGAAACAGGGCACAGGGTGACTCTTGGGAATTTACATGGATGAGTATGGTCATTTTCCTGTAGTCTTACAATTTTATCACGCCTCTGGTGTCTTGAAGTTGGAAATATTGGGATTGGGTTGTTTACTTTTTGAAACATATAACTGTTGCAAATAGGGCATATAAGAAAAGACATGTGAATGTCCATGTAAATGATTTTTATGTTTAATACTTTTGAATGGGCATGTTTACCCAGGTAATGCTCAATCTTTTGGTAGTGTACATTGTTAAACTTAGTTTACTTATTGTCTACAATATTTTAAATGTTTTGACCATCAGTTTGAAAATGTTTATATTTTCCCTTTATTAGAGTTTGAAGGACTGTGGTGGGATTGATTAGCTTTTAGAAATGGTCTTTTTTAGATTGGTTTTTACTTGTGTACTACTAGGTACTCAATTATCTCAATCTGAGTTCAAAATTTTATTTGATTAAACTGGATTTGGATATCAAAAAATCAGATCCATTTATAATCAGATTGTTCAATTAAGATTAATAGTAATGGTATGTATATGCATTTGTCTATTTTCATTAAGGCCCCATAATTCAAGTTTCATTGAAGTTATGTTAATTAATTTTATATTTTTGATTGGTAAGATTGAAATTTTATGATAATAATTGAACGAATGAGAATGTATAATGTGTCAAAACACCTGAAGATATGGACTAGCATTTACTACCTATCCAGTTCCTTTTCTTTATATACTAAAGATTCTTTTGCAGATATTTCCAAAACATTTGATCCCTATGAATTCCTTGGTTACCCTTGCATCTGCCAATGAGTCTGCTGATCGTTTTTTTCCCATCAATAGATGATCATCAAGTCCTTTTCCAGCTACCTTAATTCCTTTATAGCATTACTATACTGCCATGTGCTGTCACAAATGTTTCTCAGCCATCTCATTACCACTTTAAATCTTCCTTCACAACAAGATTTCTGAAATTAAGTGATTGTACAACCTTCATCATTGTCATTGTCATCATCATGGTCATTGTTGACAGTTGTTTTGTGTACTCAGGTTTAGTACCACAAGTACTGTTGTAATTCCTCTCTTGTTTATATTGTACGACTGGGCTAGTATAAATAATAACTCTTACACTCGCCCCCAGTATTCCTGAGGGTTTTCAGTCCACTCGACTCTCCTCTCTTCTCTCCTCTCCTCTCCTCTCTTCTCTTGCTCTTGCTCGACATGGTATCAGAGCAAGTCGTCCAGGCCTGAAGGGTGGTGTCAAGCAAACCTGCTGTTCAATGTCGTGCAGATGGTCTCTCCATCTTCCAGAGCTGCATCCCTCGAAATGCTAAGCTGTTGTATTCAGTTCGACTCAGAAGTTATAGAGACCTTTCATCTCCCAGAGCTGTCTCCATCGAACTCCTAATCTGGTGTACTCAGTTCGACCCAGAAGTTACAGAGTCTTTTCATCTTCCAGCCCAGAAGTTGTACCTCTTGTCTGCTCGACTGTAGAGAGGCTATCATTTGAGGTTCGTAGAGGGAGTTCTGCTTTACAGAGAGACTATCATTTGAAGTTAAAAGAGGTACTGGTCATCTTCTGTTCGGCTGCCCTACTGATTGACTGTTCAGCCGATTGATGGACTGTTGATTGACTGTATTCCTTAACAAAGTAATTGTATTCAGCTGTTTTTTTTTTTGTATTATGGACTGTTGATGCCCTGAAGCTGATATTGTATTAATCTTATTGATTGACTGTTCGGCTACCCTGTTGATCTCATTGACTGGTTGGCTATCAGGCCTACTGATTAGGTGTGTGGTAAACTTCACCCTTTTTTTTTGTCACTCTGTTGGGAGGTCATATGACTTCTGTTCAATTGTAGGTCATTCAGACCTAGTGATGTACTGCAACTGCAGTGTTTCTTTTTGATTCCTACAAAATCGTAGGTCATATAGACCTGTTCTTGTACTGTAACAGCAGTGTTTAGACTTTGTTCTCAGTGAAACCGTAGGTCAGAAGGACCTGTTCCAGTACTGCAACAACAGTGTTCAGATTTTGCTCCCTATGAAACCGGAGGTCAGAAGGACCTGTTTCTGCAATAGCCTTGTACGGCAGTACTCATTTGGTTGTTGTGTCGTTTTTATTCTGATATCATGGGCAGTGAAGATTCAGCCACATCTGCAGTTTCCTCAATGCTGAATGGAATGGGTGGGGGTGACCTATCTTTTCTTATGATTGTTGTCCCTCTTAATGGTTTAAATTACCTAGAGTGGTCAAGAGGGATCAAATTATACATCACTGCAAGGGGAAGATAGGCTATATTAATGGGAGGATAAAAGAACCATCCTCTGGGAGTGCTGAATATGATAGATGGAATCAGGATAACAGTATTGTTATGTCTTGGCTCTTGGTTTCCATGCAACCTCAAATAAGGAAGAATTTCATGTGGGCTGAAACTGCAAATGAAATCTGGGAACAAGCAAAATCTACATATTCAGAACTGCGACACTATGCCAAAATTTATCAACTGTAGGCAGCATCATCTACTTGTAGACAGGGGGAGAGGTGTTTATCAGTTTATTACTCTGACTTGACCTCTGTCTGGAAGGAGTTGGATCATTACCAGAGTGTGGATTGGAAGTGTGATGAGGATGCCAAAAGGTACAAGCAACTTGTCTCCCAGCAAAGGGTGTTTGCATTCTTACATGGTCTGAATCCTATATATGAATCTATCAGGGTTCAGGTTCTCAGCTCTAAGGATCTCCCATTTGTTCAGGAAGTCTATGCTCTTGTACAATCTGAAGAAAGTAGAAGAAATTTGATGAACAGCCCTGGTAGGGATGCTGTTGTGTTGGTAGCAAGAGGGGGTGTCTCTACTGGTGTGGGATCTTCTTCCAGGAAAGGAGATCTCCAGAAAAAAACAGAAGATAAGGACAAATTGTGGTGCACTCATTGCC